AATGCAGGAAAGTCCTTGTGTTGAGTGTTGGATGAAGCTATCTTGTCCCAAACCTTAGCCCTAATGTGCAAAATGCATAGATCTCTTTGGATTCACGTAAAGATTGCCACTTTACGTGATGGATGAGTTGTAGGAGGCTAGATCTATGTTTTGGATCAATTGCATGGTCTGGAACGCTTCAGTTTGGATGCAGACCGGTGGTACTCGGCGAGTCACATGGGTGGACTCGACGAGTTGCTTGAAGATGAGCTGGAACTCGACGAGTTGGATGAACAACTCGGCGAGTAGGTTGAAGATAGCCTTAGACTCGACGAGTCTGTTCTTGGACTCAGCGAGTCTTGTCGAAGAGTCTAAATATTTTCTAGTTGAGTCTAGAACCGGCGAGTCAAGGGATGACTCGGTGAGTTGTGTGCGAGTGGACTCAGAGTTGTTGGACTTGGCGAGTCTCGGGGCGACTCGGCGAGTTAGGTCGCGGATTGAGTGAAGTTTTGAGTATGGGAACTCGGCGAGTCATAGGGTTGACTCGGCGAGTAGGGTCAGTCAGGGGTTGACTTTGACCTAGTAATTGACCAAGGGTTAACCAGTGGTTTCCAGGGGTATTTTGGTAATTGTTGATTATGGTTTTGAGTTCAGTGCATTAGTGGCTGTCCAGTAGTGGAGATCGTATCAGGGATCGGAGCAGCTTGGGTTATCTGTTCAGTCGGTAGTTTCGAGGTGAGTTATCCTCACTATATCTATAGGGTTTAAGGCACCAAGGCCGACCCTTTTATCAGATGAAAATCCGGGTAATTGTCTGTTGTATGATATTGCGGGATATGGGCCGGAAGGTGTTACGTTATGGGCCGGAAGGCATTACATGTTGTGGGCCGGAAGGCAATGCGATGTGGACCGGAAGGCCATGGCCTGGAAAGGCGTATGTGCATAGTTATTATGTTGGCTGAGTCGTAGGGTGATGTTATGCTAGTGATCGGCTAGGCTGGTATCTTGGTTAGGGTAATGATATGTTATGTGATCTGTTGATCGAATTGCTAACTGTGAACTGTTATATGATTACATGTTATGTGTATAGTTGTCTGGTTTGGAGTGTAACCCGGTATGCATGGTTGTTCTATGTTCTGTCATGATATATGTGTATATATATATATATATATATATATATATATATATATATATATATATATATATATATATATATATATATGCTTTTACGTTGCGGGCCGGAAGGCGATATGTTATGGGCCGGAAGGCAATATGTTATGTTCCGGAAGGCAATGTGTTATGGGCCGGAAGGCATTACGCTATGGGCCGGAAGGCGATATGTTTTGGACCGGAAGGTTGTGGCCTGGAAGGATGTATATGTGGTTGGTATTTCGGGGGTATCTCACTAAGCTTTCGGGCTTACAGTTGTGATTTTTATGTTTTCAGGTTCTCAGGAGTCTGTGGCAAGGCAAGGGTGTGATCGTACCGTTCCTCGCGTTGGTGTTTTATGAAATGGACCTGGGAAAATACTCTGTTAAATAATGTATTGAAAACCTTTTTGTAACAACGTTATTAAAATGGGTTGTTTTGAAAAGTTTTAATTGTTTCGAAATTTTGGTCGTTACATTTCGTCAATTTTCCCGCTGAAATCAGATGCACCCGAAGAAGTCCCTTTTCCCTTTCTCTTCGCTTTATCCCTACCCATTGGACGGACAATTTCTTCTGACTCAAGTTCGTCATCCTGATTTAAATTTAGACCGACCCGAGCATTGGAGGAGGTTGTGTAACCATTAGAGCCCGTTTTTATTCGCTTTGATGGTTGGAATCCAAAAATAAAATCCTGATTTAAAATTGCAAAGTTTCTTGAAGTATTTGTTCGTCCCCTTGGCCGCTTTTCCGTTGGGTTTTTAGGTTGTTGTACAACCCGTTAATTTTTGAAACCTCCTTGCTATTTCTCGAAACTTCGAATTCAGTTGATGTTTTGTACGGTAGTCATCACCTTTTTCTAGCTCCTCTCAAAACCGTTCTAAAATGCGAAACAAAAAATGTTCTCCCGGTTGTGCGTTTCCTTGAATCGAATCTTTAGAAATGTCAACCCAAACTTTGACCAAAACTAGCTCTTCGTGTGGAAGCCATGCAGTTGGCTTTTGTCTTCCCGGTTGTTCGACACCCTCACATGCTTGTTTTTTCCCTTTACGTCTTTGTGGGGGTGGTGTGGGTTGAGTTTTGGGAACCATCTCTTCTTCTTCCGAATCATCCAACTCGTTGACAAGTTGGCGTTGTTGGTGGGTTTGGGTTTGAGTTTGAGTTTGGGTTTGAGGTTGAGATTGATTTGGCGATTGTTGATCCGGACACACAACAAAGTTTGAAAACATTTGCGGCGAAACATTTGGAACTTGCATCGGGTAATATTGTCCAACATTTTAGTATCGGAATGGTAGTGGGGATTGAAAGGGAGCATCGAGTTGGGGGTGATAAACTCCTTGTGGTGATGAATCAATAGCAAAAATGTTTCGAGAATGGATGTTTATACTCGAACCATGATTTTTTTTCCTTCGATCGGAATGTGGGATTTGATTGTCGGGATTGAATTTTTTTTAGAAGAAAGTGGAGAGAGTAGAGGATTTGTGTGAATTTTGTTTGATGATAAATAGTTGTGTATTTATAGGTGTGTAAAAAATATTTAAAAAAAAACAAAAAAATGGATTTAAATCCATTTAGCCTTACAGCCCAAAAAAAATATAAAAAAATTATTATTATTAATATTTTTACCGTTGAATAATGGTTTAATTTAATATATATATATATATATATATATATATATATATATATATATATATATATATATATATATATATATATATATATATATATATATATATATATATGGGAAATACCTTTAAGGGTATATAATCTTAGGTACCCAAACACACTATAATACGTCGTTTTTTTATATATTCATTATAATATTGTTAAGCTTCAATCCTAACTTGATTTGTTTTCAAGATATTCGACATTTCACTATTATCATTCTCTTACATCGCATCTTTTTGCCGAACACCTACTATGCTATATATATTGTACTTGAAAATGGAAATTATGTAAGAGGAAGATAAATGTGTAAATTATAAAAATTTTAGAAGTAAATCAAGTTAGAAGTTAAATTATAAGAAAATTGGACAATTAGAACGTATTATATGATACAAAACGACGTAGTATAGTGAGTTTAGGTACCTAAACTTATATACCCTTAAGGGTATATTCACTTTTCCCATATATATATATATATATATATATATATATATATATATATATATATATATATATATATATATATATATATATATATATATATATATATATATATATATATATATATATATCAACGAATCATAACAGGAGAGAGAGCGCGGGAGAGGTTTCCCTCACCCATTCTCACACCACCATTCCCCGTGCTGATGGTACGGTGTTCCGCCGGGCGGGAAGCTCCCCGCGACCGTTCCCCGCTTCCACTCCGTTCGGCCTTATATTGGATAACCCAAGAATTCCATAATAAACCCTACACCATCTACATCGATTCTTAAGCCATTAAAAAGCCAATAACTTGATCTCACAAACTAACAAAGAAGACGTTTTCACCTTACTAAAAAATAAGACCATTCATATTAGTCTAAATAACCCAAAAGAATGACCCATGGTTGCCTCCATAGGATGTGCTTTGAAACAACCCTTCCTCATCCTGTGTTGCTACCCATTTCCAGTATAGAATCAAAAGAATGTGGTATGTTGTTGAAAGGCAAATCAACCCACCAAATTAGCAGAAGAGCACCCACCTCCCTAATAATCACAATCACAGAATAGAACATATGTACTTCAACCTTATTGAACGAGTTGCACATAGGCGAGTCTAAGTTGAAGCAAGGTAGGTCCCGTGACCTATCTAATTTTTTAATTTTGCTGATAATTTCTTTAACAAAAGTTTTAGGAACCACTTTAAAAAAATTGAGTTTTTTGGTTTAAGAACTTGCTAAAATCGTGAGCATGAGCTTTTGACAGAAAAAGTTCTTACTTAAGTAAAAAATCAAGAAACTGTTAGTGGCATATCCCTACAATTAAAATAATATATATAAAGTTTTTACCATATCTTGGACTCACATTCTCAGAAAAGCCAAAACATTGCGCTAATAAAAAAGAAGTCCAAAAGTCCTGCTTAATCTTATTTTTTATAAACCATAAAAAATAAAAAACTAGATCAAGAAACTTGAAAGTAAAAACTAAAAAAACCCTAACCACATCTGTTGGCCGCTTTGAAATTTACACCAAAAAATGCCAACAAGTGTCACTCTCCATCGCCCACGGCTCATCTCATCTCAAAGATTTTGTTGTATATACATTCCTATCTTTAACAAGTTTTAGTCTTGTGTTTTTATTAACTTTTTAACTATATTTTTATAAACTCTCATAAATTGTGAATAGACATGGTCTGTAAAAATCTTTTATAAACAGTTAAGGTCTATGTGCTATCAATGTATGCTTGCAAATAGATATTGTTTATGTAATAATATTATATAATCATGTTTAATCACTTATTCATGTTTTAGGATTGTACCAATTATTTGTTTTTAGTAATTAAAATGAATCTAAAACAACATAAATAAGATTCAATCAAACATTATACCTATATATTTTCTATAATCAAAATATTTTTTATTAGCATTAAACAATCTACTTGATAGATAGATTAATAAATAACTTTTAATTAAGTTGGCATCGACACTTTAGAGTACATTAAAGAGTTATTTCATAAGGTATGCAACCCGGTTTTTCACAAATATTGTCAACACTGTTATTTTTATTGATTTCAATTAACTAGAAAGTCATATGATTTTGTTTGTAGATTTGCGAGTATTAGAGAACCACGTGGTTTTTTGTTCTAGACTCACTTGACATCCGACACATTTTAGACGAGATATGCACCCCTCTTTGGATTAGGTCAGTTCTAGTTGGAAGTCTTCTGAGTCTCAAACACCTAATGAGAAGATATGAATCTTTGCTGGGACGACCTTGGACCATAAACTTGGTGAATAATTAATGGAATCCAACGTCTTAGAGTCAATTACTTTCCTGAGAGAGGACACCGTGAAGTTTCCTCCAGGTTCCAACCCCCAACACTGTGAATTTTCTTCAGCGGAAAATTCCTTCTTTTCACCCTTGTAAGTGACTACAATTTTTGGCTTGTCCTTGGTCCCAACAACAACTTTAAAAGGCCACAATTTCATGTCTTTCTGAACAATTTCATCGCTTGCTCTTCTTCCAATCAACCACTTAACATTTGTTGCATATATGTAAACCAACAAATCCATGACTCCTTTATAAACAAACAGAAAAGTTGTTTTGGTAAAAGCTACAACTGAACATAACAAGAAGCTAAAATTACCGTATTGCCATTTTACATAAACAAACATACTAAAAACCAAATATAACCAACATCAACTCAAAATTAAAAAATTTTGTACACGAGTTATTTAAAAGTCCATAAATTCAAATAATATCCAATACCAAATAGTCTTAACATAAATGTAGAGAAACGTGTGTGAAAGTCCTCTAAAATACAACTTGGAATCTAAAACTGAAGAAAACTGGTACGGAAAACCAGTCATATATATATTTATCGTAGGGACCAGCACAGAAATGAGAATAGTAGCACCATGAAGAACCAAATAAAGTACTAATTTGGTGTGGGACACCAAATCATGAACCTTGAAATCACATTCTTTGAAACGTTGGGGTGAAAGACTGAAATAAGAACAACGATGAGTTTCTTTTTAGTTTCTACATGCATTGCCTTCATCTTTTCCGAAGAACTTTCTCTCAGGTTAGATAATATATCGCATTACTTCTGTATATTTTGGCCACAAGGGAGGCAAGGCTAACTTATTTAGAAGTAAACTCCGGCACAAAGTATGAGAGATTTTCAAATTGCACCAGATACGGCCTTTATACAAGCAAAAAACAGAGACGAGGAAGAAGATAGCTTATAACGTACCTCAATTGCTGATGCTTGGAATGCTGGAATCGTGTGCCACTAATGGAAGACAAAATCGAGAACGTATGGTAAAAGCAATCATCTTGGATACTGATATGCAGAAAACGATAGCTATAAAAGCTTTTGATTAGATGAATTTTGAGTCGATGGATTAACATTTAAGCAAAAAAGAGGACACGAATGATGAAAAAGGATCGTGTTTAGTAGGTTGATATATTTAAGGGCTATAGAAATCACCTTGATTGTACTCAAACGATAGAAACATGCAACAAACTACCCAAATATACATGATCTAAAAACTTTAATCTAAGAATAAAAATAGTTGTTCCTTTTAAACTTGTTGAATTTTAGAAAAAAAAAAAAAAACACTTATCATAAGATTTGTATCACAACATATGGTCGAAAAAGTAATTATAAAAACTCTTTTATCTTTTATTATTGTTTGTGTTACTATTAAAAAATTCTCCGCTGCTAACAACAGAATTATATAACGACCAACAATGTAAAACCAATGCTGTTGAGATACGAATTTGAATTATGTGATTTGCTGACACATTGTGGTTATCCACATTATTCATAGTCATAAGATAACTATTACTGATACTCGAATATAATTTTAAGTAAGTCTTTTGCTGCGTGGTGGAACTTCTTCGGTATACATATATTGTAAAGTTCTGATTTCTTGTCCTCCAACTCAGCCTGTTCAGCATCAGGATTTTCATCAAGCCACTCAAGTGTCTCCTTAATCTGATGATCTAAGGATACCAAGTCTTTTACATTAAGCCCCACCTTTACAAGACTCAATCGAACCTTGTAATCCTTTATTTTGGTTCTCATCTTAGAAACACATTGGTCTAAAGCTCTATGAGCCATCACCTTCTTCACGTGTGCTTCATCCTCAAGCTTAAACCGTTCAGCATCTGCAATCATCTTTTCAATCTCTGCTTTCGACAATCTACGATTGTCATTTATCTTGATTGCGTTGTTCACGCCAGTGGTTATTTCTCTGGCTGAGACGTTCAAAATCCCATCAGCATCCATCTCGAAGCATACATTGATCCCAACTTCCCCCTTGGAGCAGGAGGAAAGCCAGACAGATCAAGTTCTCCCAAGAGATAATTTTCAGAAGCATTGCCTCTTTCACCTTGACAAACATAAATCGCCAAAGAAGTTATATTGTCGATAGATGTAGAGAATAGACGTTGCTTCTTGGTTGGTATAGGTGAATTTCTCGGGATCAACACAGCCATAACATCTCCCCTACACCACACACCAAGTGATAAGGGAGTAACATCAATTAACTGTACATCTTCATCACCCACACCACTTAACTTTACTGCTAAAATTCCAGCCCCATCAGGATTGATTAGGCCATTCATGTTAATTGATATGGTTCAATGCCAGTTGAGAACATCAAACTAGTTTTGGCCCAGCAATATATACCTTTCTAAAATGCTTAATACTTTAATGGTACAGAGATAAAACCTCAAAATATGAAAAACTAACATCATAATCAACTAAAGAACCAAAGACTTTAACCTATTCATTGATTAAAAAAAAAATCAAACTGAATAAAAAATAAATGCCATTGAAAACCCAAAGAAGCTACAAACAATGAAAGAACCACAAGCCCATTCTGCCTATCAAAAATCCAACTAAGGCTTTCATGGCCTTTACTATTAAACCAAGTCTCAGCAACACATTTCAAAAAACATGAACCTTGGATCAAAACCCACAAGGCATATAACAAAATTATCCAATAAAATGAAGATTACCCAAATAATGTTTTCAATATCTCCTTCCAAAACCACCACCACCACCACCCCTACCAAAAGCAGGAACAGATGGCAAAGCCTGTGGCTCCACAGAAGCCTTAACAACACCAGGAAGATCACCCATGCCAAGAGCATTAAGCATTTCAATGGTCTCCTTATCAACCTCAATCAGATCAGTCTTAATGGCTGATTCATCAGGAACAAAGTCCATACGTCGCTCCCTTTCTTCCTCCTGCAGCTTCAATGAGATTCCCCTCACTGGTCCTTTCTGAATACGCTTCATCAAGTGAGTAGAGAATCCTGCAATCTTGTTCCTAAGTCGCTTTGATGGAATGATGGCAACTTCTTCCAGAATCTTCTTGTTTGTGTGGAAGTCCAGAGTCATTTTACCATAATACCTCTCAATAACTACCCTCGAGGATTTTTTAACAGTCTTAGTCCGCACACGCCCCATTCTTTACCTTGTTGTAGTGGTTTATCCCAAACTAAAATTGATCAAGTTAACAAAGATCATTAGAAGAGTCGTTAGGTCCATGACAACAATCTCTAGTTCACATTAAGCTTTTATCTTGAATAACAAAAAGTAGATAACTTAGAACTGTATCCTTCTAAGATTATGTAAATGATTTTTGATTAAAAACCAACATTTCCTTCAATGATCCCAAATGCACAAAAAAGACACGTTATGCACCTATCTCAAAGATCCCAATACTGTAACGTGTTGTCTACGATACTTCAACGATTTAAAGATGTAACCACAAAATCTAACATAGCCTAAGAATAAAAGCGGGAAAATGCCCTTATACATTCAGCTTGTATTCTGCGCAACGTTTAAAACGAAAGCATCATACATTCATTGATTCAAACAAGGAATCAACCATATGAGAAGATAATACATGACATTGTATAGTAAACGATGTTAGATTAGATGCATTTGTCACAAAACTTCCAAACTGAAATTTAGAAAATCGTTTCAAAAATCATAGTGTACATAACCAATTGTCCTTCTAGCATTCTCACAAGTTTTAGAGGAAGTTTAAAAATTGAAGTATACAAAAGAGTAAGTGAGATACACTGCGTAGGATGACGGAAAATTGCATACCGTAGTGGTTGTTCCGGCTAAGATCGGCGGCGCACAACCCTCTTCCTCTCGCCCTCTGTAAAATATCGCCGTCGAAAGAAACCCTAAACTAGACTTTAATACTTATGAGGATGGGCAAATATGTCTTTTCCTACTGAATCTTTGAAATTTGATACTCTCACGATTCACCCCTTTAGAGTTGCATTCTTTTTACTTTTACCTTTAACTTTTTACTATTTAATTATTATTGGCTTAACTGTTTATTATCCCGTTTTGGCATGCAAGTTAAGGTAAAATCGAGTGTACGATTATTAATTTCATTATATTTGTAATTTTTTTCGGGACGATTGAATAGTTATTATATTTGTATTATTTTACAAAACAACTACAAATTAAGATATTTAAATGGACTATGATGACAACCTTTGATATGATTTTGTATTTCAGTGGCCATAACAATTATTTTATGAAAAGACTATTAGTTGTTGGTTTAAAAATCTATTCACTCAATATAAAATATAAACTCAAACAACTACTTGGGGACCTTGATGTATATAGGATCCAATGATAACTTAAAAAATTTCCAAATTGTTTCTCATAAGATGTGATCATTTTTTGTTGTTACACAGGTCATTGTCAATGTTTCTTTTCTTTTGTTTTCAGATGATAGCAAATGGGCATGTGGAGTGCATATATATACCCAATGGGCAGTGTATTACACTTTGGTGACATAATAAAACACTTATGATATAATATATCAATGAAAATCCTTTGGATGAATAAGAAATAACTTCAAAATACCCATTAAAACAAAAGGACAAAGAGTGTTTTGTTTATGATTGTAAACCCTTTTGAATCTTGGGGGACATAGAAAACAACACCTCTTACAAACCAAACAAAAACCTAAAAAAGTAATATAAATGATTGTTGAGTCAGCAATAGATCATCACAATAAGTTGAACACAAAAGGAGTAGGCTTTCGATGAGCCATCTTTCCCGTTTTGGACACCACTTGATCTTATATTGTTGATTGGACGTTGTTAAGAAGCACTCATTCTTAAACCAAACCAAATCAGTTTTTCATTGCAACTTGTTTAAATGAATATTATTTATGATTCTCTTTTCAATTATGTTAATGCTTATCTTAATTTAATAAGTTAAAGATTAAAACTTTTAAGCACGTAAATTTTTAATGTTATTCTTATTAAAACTTTTAAACATGTTGTAAAAGATTAGTGGTATCTTAATTCAATAAGACAACTAACTTTCCCACATGTCTACTTTAGTTTCTAACAAATTTTCTTATTCTGAACCATAGTTTTTTAGTTTCACTTATATGAAAAAATGTGACTTGAACTGATTATTGATGTTTACACTTATACATTTATGGTAGCATAGATTATATAATAATTAAGGGATAATGATTTAGGTGAGCATCGAAGTTTCAAATTTATTCAAAAAACACCATTCAAATATTACATATTCATAAAACACCATCAAACTGAGACATATGTTTAAAAACACTAACGAAGTACATATTCTGTTCAAAAAACATCATCTTCATAGTTTGGGGTAACTTACATGGTTGACCCCTAACTTTTTTTTCTTAACTCGGATGGTCCTTAGCGTTTATATTTATTTTGTCTTCAGATCATGATCGATTTAAAAGACTAATATACCATTATTAGTTTCATTTAACATTTATTTTTATTACTTGTTAGTTATTTAAACAATTGATAAATTTATAAAAAAAATAATAACATAAATCGTATAAATAATTAATAATAATAATAATAATAATAATAATAATGTTAAATAATAGTAATAAGGGTATATTAGTCTTTTAACTCGATAAAGATCTGAAGTCGAAGCAAAATTAAACTAAAGAGACCGTCCAAGTTAAGAAAAAAAATTTAAGGACTATATATGTAAGTTACTCCAAACCATAGAGATGATATTTTTTTTGAACAGAACATTTACTTCTTCGTTCATGTTTTTTGAACATATCTTAGTTTGATGGTGTTTTTTAAACATGTAATACCTTAATGGTTTTTTTTGAACGAATTTGAAACTTCGATGGTCTCTTAAGTTTTTCCCAATAATTAATTAATTTTGATCATTGTAAGTAATTAATTAATATTATCTCTATAATAATATAGTAGAGACTTGTCTTTTTAAGTTTTTATAGTTCAAAATACATATTAATTTTGAATAATATTAATTTGATTTTTTTATAATCCTTTTTCTTATTATTTGAAGAGTAAATTATAGCTATGGACTTTATGGTAGTATGGTTTGTATTTTCTCGAGTTTAAATCAAGTCGTAAAAAATCAATATTAATGGTCCTTATGGTTTCAAAATCATTAAGATTAATCTTTTTTCTAATTACGGTATTTCTAGCTACAGTAACCATGTCCGTTAAATGCATGTAAATTGGCAAATGCAAGTTATATAACCCTTTTTAAAATTTTCAACTTCCTACGGAATGTACTTTTTTATTCTAATCTTGTATTATATATAAAATCTTATTGTAACTTTTCAACTTCAATAAAATGTATAAATTTAGTAATTTAAATATTATGTTAAATTTAAACACATGGAAATTATAAATAAAGTAAAAACAAAAAAGAAAGAAAAAAAGTGTCCAAGGAGCGGATCGCTTTCGGGAGGACAGAACAAAAGGCAACACCAACATCATAAAATGTATCTGTAAGGTTGTTGATGAACATTTTACACCAAAAGGGAAAGTTTTATGTTCATTTGGTGTTGTTTCATACAATAGTGGTACCATCAAAGCTTTTAAGGCTAAGCATCCATACAAGTCACTCGTATCCATGTCGGACACCATTTATTATGAGCTTCCGCTTATAGTAAAGATTGACAATGTCCTTGGCTGCATTACATCGTTTCCTAAAAAAATTTCATGTGAGAGAGACGGCTTGAAAGCTCAACACATTTTTGGATGCTTTTATGTGGGGAGGGGTCTCGCTAAAAAAATAACATTTAGTGGCACACGTTTTTAGTGGCATTTAACTTTTGTGCCACTAATTTAAGTTTTTAATGGCACTTTGCATATGCCACAAAAGAAATAATTATTTAATTAATGAAAAAGAAATAAATATATTAATGAAGTAGATGTTATGTTATACAAAATATGTATAATGTTTAGAGTCGACGAAAAATTGGGTATGTAACCCGATGAACTGATCCGTCCATCAAAAAAATTCTAACGTCTTTAAAATTTTGTTCCCTCCAAGCAAAAACTGAAATCTCGACAATGAAATTCCTGCTAACCCTACATAGAAATTGAAATCTCCACTGAAATTAGAGTTTTGCCTCACCTCAATTGATATAAAAGAAAGTTAATTTCACCCTCAGTAGTCAACCGGGCTTCCTGTACGATATCACGCTTAGTAGTGTTCATCCCCACCTACTCTTTCAATTGATCTGAGGTCGTCGGCTACAAACCTTCAATCGATTTCAATCTACAGGTACATATCTAATGTTCAATTGATTTTTCTTCTTTTTGTGTTTTTTCCCTTCTATGGTTTTTCTCATCAAGTTATCTTCATTAGCACCTATGTAGAACACTTGTTTTTTACCCCCATGATGCACATATTGGTGCATCTCGATTTCTTCTATGTTTAATAATCTAAATATATTGTTTGTTGAAATGCATACTATCTGTTCGATTAAATGCCCCAATTGAAAACCAATACACCAAAATTGAAATTTGTTGATAGAGTCCAACCAATTTAGATATATATGTTAAAAACGTTTCTTATTTGTGTGTATATATGACCTGTTGTGTGTGTGTGTGTGTGTTTGTGTGTAGGATCTACTTCAAATAGTTAACTATGTGTGTGTATGTATGTGTATATATATATATATATAGTTAACTATGTGTGTGTATGTATATATATATATATATATATATATATATATATATATATAGGATTTGTTTGTGTGTGTTTATATGGTTTTGGTTTTATTAATATTGGCATTATTAAAGTTTGTTTGCTGGTAGATATTTGATGAGAATAATAGTTAAAGGTATATTGGTTGCTATTTTTGTAGATGAAACTTTGTTGGAAAACATTTTAAGAGTGATTTCTCAAGGGTGCGACTGTGAACTATGGTTTCATATACCTGGTGTTTCTAGTGGTTGCAATGATATACATGTCGTGGTAAAAAGAAAGTTAATAAGGTATCTTTTTTACTATATATCAAGCCCCAGTAATTGCCATTCTTCCATTTAGTTTTTTTTATTTTGAGGCATTTTGATATTTGGCTTGATTGATAT